TCCCTACACCGTAGCGGTTAATATTCTGAAGAGAGGCCACGAAAGGTTGCGAGAATCGACCTATTAGCTCAGGTATTGCACTTGGGGGATTGGGAAGCGACGGTTTCTGAGTAGAAACCGGAGATTTGGAGCGACTCCTTTTGTTCTTCTTGTTCCTGCGGCATCCTCCACCGACGGGAACGTTCCTGAGAGCACCACCTCGTGTCCAATAACGCCGACACGTCTTGCAGAAGTGGCGCGGCTGAGAGAGGCTGTAGTTGTTGAAGTAGCAAAACTTTGTGTTGGTGGATTCACACCGTGGACACTTGAGGGCTCCTTCCTGAGCCGGTACTTTGGTCCGATCCGCTATCGAACCGGGCCTGATTGGACCGGCTTCAATGGAAGGAGCCTGTGGCTGCGGAAGCAGCTGAGGATTGTTGCTGCCATTTGCCTGCTGTTGGTGTTGATTTTGTTGCTGCAGAACAAAAGCAAGAAAGCAAGAAAGAAATACTTGAGATTTTAGTGAAAACAAATCTGGTATATTCAGGGAGATAAGATTGTATACAATACAAGGAATAGGAATAATGATTGATGAGTGATATATATATATCTGTTTTGTGATTTGGTGGTTTTCTTTTAGGGTTTAGAAACTGTGGCTGAGATTTGAGGGAATTGAAACCTTACTTGTTGGTGCTGCCAATTGGGAGGATCTAAATAGACTGGAATAGAAGAGAAAACCATGGTGCTTCAATGATCTTTTGTGTTTTTTTTTTTATAAAGTTTGATGGCTCTTTAGGGAGAAGGTGGAGGTAGAATCGCACTAGGGGGAATACCAGAGCGGAGAAAGTAAAGGAAAAAAGAGGAGGATGGAGGAGAGGAAAGCAAGAAGAGGCTTTATTTTGTTTGCTTTAAGCTTATTCTCTCATTCTCATCTCTTTTTGTTTTATTATATTTTAGGGTTTTAAGTGGAGGAAGTATCTTACTCTGTAAGCTTCTTTTTCACGCTTTGGTCTCAATTTTTTTTTTTAGCAAACGGGTTAGTGGATCCCATGCATGGAACACGACGCCGTATATTATACATGTTGCAAAATTGATTGTTATTTTATACAATAGTAGTGGTAAGATCGCCCTCCAAATCAAAGAATTTAAACTTGACCAGGGAGAAAGATTAACATATTCAGAGTATTATTTATTGGTTGAGTTTTGCCATGTAGACTTAGTTTGTGTTGTCGCATAATTGTTATACATAAAAGACAGAAAAGAAAGGTAAAAGTGATTTTCAGTAATTTGTTTGCAGCTGTCCCTTTAATTTTATTTGAGTGTGGATACTCTTTGATACCTGAATTTTATAGTAGAGTGTAGAGAGATACAAACGAAGTGAGGGTGACTGTTAAAAGAAACTTAATCATTCAACAATGCAGATAGATTTAAAAATTTTAGATATTGAGATAATACTTATTTAAATATTTATATTTTTAAAATTTTATATATAACTTTTAAAAGTATAAATATATTATAATTATTTTTTTTATTAATTTTTATATTTATAATTATGATTAGAGTGAAAATAAGTTAGATCATACTAAGTTTATTATAATTTTGTAGATCTAAACTTAATTTTCGTTGAAAATACATATTTTAAATATTGGTTAGATCTATGACTTTAAAATTTTTTTTATAATAATTTAACACTAATAAAAATATAAAAATAAATATGTTAAATTTTATAAAAATTAAGTTTAATTTATTTATGATATAAACATGTTTTTAATATATAATATAAATTTTTAGATGATAATTTATTTAAAAACATATATTATAATAAGAATTCTAATTAAATAGAACATAAATCTTACAATCATTATTATTTTAAATTTTTTAATTAACATATATACTAAATAGAAAACACAAAAAGTAAACATGTATGTTGCAAATTTTATTTTATCAAAAATTGATTTTTTATTATATTATATTATATATATATATATATATGTTATAACTAAATTTTAAAAAAAAATTGAACTAAGGAATATTTTTTATCACATATTAAAACTAATTTTCTTAAAAAATTTGATAAATATCAAATAGATGAACATTTTTCTCGAATTTAAATTTTAGATATACGATAATTTAAATATATATGTTTATTTTATTAACTTTTTTTAAAATGTACTGTTTTTTTGGATAAGAAAAAGTATGTACGTATAAAATGGCAGTGGGAGCAAGCCCTCACTGTATTCCATATAAATTCGTCTTTGTCAACAATATCTTTGTGTTTATCTTTCTTATCGAAAAAATTTGTGTTGTGAAGAGGAGACAATTAGGCCTTATTTTTATGTCTTTTTAATTATAAAAATGATTGTCAGGAAAAATAATTAGCAAATAAGAGTTATTATTATTACAATTTACAAGAATATTGAGAATTTATTTTATGTGGAGTGATTTTTCAATTAGAATGAAATAAAAATATGACAAACAGGTAAGGTGATTTTGAGTCCGTTATGGTAATTATAATTATTAAGCTTGACATAAGGAAAAAAAATATTAAAAATGCAAGAATATTTGAATCATCTCTTATAAATGAAGTTCTATGATCATATATTTGACAGCTCCCATTCATGTTGCAGTAGTTTTTGACTTTTATGGAACATACAATTACGAAAGTCCTGGGAATATTACTACATGTACATGAGAATAAAATAGAAAGAAGATTAAATGATTCCTTGGCTCATTTAAGAGATATGAGGTACATAAACAATAACCACAAATGATGATGGTCTTTAATTTCTTGCTCCAACCAAAGAAGAGACTATTTTAAAGATTTGAATCAGTGACCTTCAAATTATAATTAACTAAGCAATTTTACCATAACATATATCAGGTTTCATCGCCAATTAATGAAAAGTAAAGACCTAAGTAAAATAGTATTCATACCATCATACATTCTGGTTTGGAAAAAAAAAATTAATTTTTATTTAAAAATATAAATAACGTAGCTCAAAATAATAGAGAAATACGATTTTTTGGTGAATACATTTATGACGTTATCTTGCAAACTTTAAACTTGATGCTTTTTTTTGTTTCCTTTTCTGTGTTTTATCCATATATATCGTCTTGTTTTTTCCGTGTAAGAATATGAACAAAAGTGAAAACTCTAGCCAGAGCAATATCAAAACATTAATTTTTTTTAATTATATTCTCATCTTGTTGTTTTACTCCTATTAATCAACACACCCAATATCACACACTACTACCTGGATTTGATCATTTGAAAAAAATAATTTTGAAATATTGCTGCCCGATGAAGAACAATTGATATAGTATAAAATTAAAAAAAAAATATATATAAAATAAATAAATAAAATTGGCGGTAGCTAGTCTGTAATTGCTTTACTTAGCCCCAGTAAAGCAGTGGCTTAAAGTTGTGGTTAGATCCTTTTCGGGCACAGCACCAACACTAGTGTCTAGTGACATCACGGAATAAGATATAAATTAACTACTAGTAATAAAAGACAAAGTAAACAAAGACACATCCTTTAAAAAAACATATTTATTAATTGGACGTCACCAATTTGAAGTATTAAGCACTAAAGTTTGAAGCCAACCAGAAGAATTGTCTACAACTTTTAAGTAAAAGAAATGTAACTCACTGTCCTAAAAATGTTGATTTTCAATGTTTCTTTATTTGATTTTCTCTATTGAGCTGCCCCCGGGACCAAGAAGTCTAGAAAGTAGAAACCTGAAACGTGGTTATGAAAGAAAGAAACAAAATACTATTAATTTTGTAAAGTGGGTTGAAGTCACACTGAATGAGTAATGAAATGCAAGCATCATAGGATCAATTTCCTTTCTTCAGTGATAAGAAACGTTGATCCTTTGTTAAGCTTAAATCCTTATAATTATTCTCAGCATCTTCATATAATAATTAATTAGCTTACATTGGAGTACTGCTGTGGTACGTAACTAGCTGATTAAGTTGAAAACATAACTTTTTATATGTAAAGTTCTATTATCACCAAATAGGAGAAGGCAGTGACAGATTTGGGGTAGAGGGATGATGTATTTTAAATTTGAATGTCATCTTCACAACTCTTTGTCTCTTTTATTGCAATTTATTAGCATAAAGACTAAAAACTGCTTTATGATACTTCATCTCTTTTTTTATTTGAAACTCTTGAGAAAAATAATATTTATAATCTCTTTTCTAGTTTATCAATCGACAAAAATTAAGAGATGAAGAAAGATGTTGATGTCATATTGGAATGATTAACGGATGACTAATATATAGAAGATTCATTAAAAAAATTTGAAAATTATAATTTTTCGTAATTAAAAATCACTACAAATTTCATTTTTAACACTTAATATAATCATCAAATGCACGTGCGTCAAAAATTGTTTATGACGGAATTTGGTTGACCACCAATACAGATGCTTGAAATGTTGTAACATATATTGACGGTTCGAAATCGCTAAAAACATGTGTGGTCAATCCATTTTAATTTAACATTTATTGACGATTATAAATTACTATAATATGTCATGTTAATTTATTTTAAATTAGAATTTTCTGACAGTTCTAAACCGTCCTAAAATGCATTATCAGATTATCATAAATCAGTATTATTGATTATTAATAACTCTTTAAACTACACAAAATAATAATAATAAATTTTATATTTACATAATAAATTTCACTTGAAAAATAATAAATATTAGAATACTGAACCCTGAAAATAATAAAAAAAAAATGCCAATATTATTGTTATACTGAATTGTTCAATATGCTTTAACAATTTATTCATAATTGATCAATTAGTTTCTAAAAGACAAGGTTTGTCTTCTTAAAGAGAAATTACTGCTTGTTAAGGATATGCTTAATAAGAAGAAAATAAATAGGTGAAAATAGAGTAAAAAAATAAATAAGAGAAAATTAAAATGTTTGATAGCAAAAAACAAGAGAGAAATACAATAATATATATATATATATATATAAATTAAATAATTGATTAAAATTTTAATTCAATGGATTAAATTATCAAAATATAATACATACATTTATTGGTAAAAAAAATTGAGAACCAATCGATTGCTAACGAATTTCAATCAA